GACCCCAGGACTCACCCCAACTTGAAAAGGACTATACCTGCAGAAAATTGTATAATAGACTCAGATGATGCCTGCATCTTCATAGACATGGCTTCAGAAAGACAAGGACAATTTTACCTCATATAGAAAGGTCAAAGAGTGGACTTTAGTCACCTCCTTAAAATGTTTGTATAGCCCTGCCATATCTCATGGTTAGTAGCGGAGGATTTAGCTGCCTGAAGCGGCCATGCTGCCAATATTATGTTTCATTATATTAACATGTTGTATTAACCTTTGATTCTCTTGCAGGTTTGAATGTAGCTGTCAGCAGTTGCTGTAGACCTATGTTGGTCTACAGTCCTTAATAGTCTCTGGGAGTAACTGGCAAGTGTTCAGTTTCCCATACTAAAGGCCATTGTTATGGCCATATGTTAACTGTCCTGGAAAGGGACTATGTGGGGTGAACCCCAAAAGTAAAGGATGTCTAGCTGCCAAGAGGGCAGGTGCCCAACCTGGCAAAGAAGAATACCCATCAGGTTTTGGTCTCTATTAAGAGACAGTTAACAGTTGGCAGCCTGTATACTATCTTGCAGGCCTGCGTGACCATGCCCATGTCAGGGGTGGTACATACCTCAACTGTAAAAGAAAACTAGAAAAGGCCTGTTTGAAATAGAAGGTCTAAGGCATAGTTATACATTTTTAAAGGACATAGAAAGAAAGTTTAAAAGCATATTTGAAAGTATAAAATTTAAAAAGATTATGTATGTAATAAAAAAAAGAAAAATGTAAAAAAAATTAATCAAATAGTACAGGCCAGTAAGCCAGAGAGAGTAAATAATTTACATTCTGCCTCCCTAAACAGAGGGTAAATAGTTATGCCAAAGTACTTGGGGTGGGGGGGGACTGATAAAAGAAATCCAACAATTACTGTTTTGTTATAACTCTGAAAAGTCCATGAAAAGGGACTGGCAAGAAAAATCAGAAGATCTTAGAGCAGATCAGTATGTTTTTCCCCTTATATAATTCCTCTGAAATCTGGCAATGCTTAATAAGTCATGGCAATACATTTCTTTGCATGAAATCAATAAGACCGGTTTTCAATAGTGGTTTTATTGACCAGAAACTTTGACTTGAGTATTATGTTTTGGAGTATCAAAGAGCGCTGTCTGAACTCTGAAGACTGGAAGTCAATAAGAGGGCCATAGGAGAAAGCCTGGTATCCTGCTTGGGAGCCCTAAAATGGCTGGTTCTGGAGTATCAGGCCCATGCCCTACCATCACTGATGGTTGGTCAAGAGTAGAAGGGGAGCAATAAAGGCATCTCTGCGGAACCCCCATGTACTCTGGGCCGTGACGAGTAGGAGGGCTACTGAGATGGGCCTTAAAGCCTAGAACATGGCCCTGGGTAGAGCCATTGCAGGTGAGGGATTCACCTAACTCAGCAGATACTGCAGGCAGGCCTAATGGCAGCTGGATGGCTTGGCTTCCTGGCCCTACGGGGCACACTAAAATCCAATCATGAAATTCCAGCAA